AACATAACATAACATAACATAACATAACATAACATAACATAACATAACATAACATAACATAACATAACATGACATGACATAACATAATATAACATAACCCTATCCTTGTTCTTCCCAAGAGCATGAAGCAAACCCCTTGCCCCGACAAAACCCCCTTTTATTAATTTACTGTGAATTCTGCTCATTCCCATCCAGCAAAGTCTTTCAAGGGAGGATTTACAATCACAGACCTTATCTAGCTTGGAGAGCTGACATATCTGCAACACTTGGCAAGGAGTCACAAACCAATGAAGCGAACTAATTGTCTCCTGCAAACTCCACTCCCCTTTCTCTCCTCTTTTATTTCCTCTGGGAGGGGCCATTCATCATCTGGCCTTACTCCCAAGTCAACCCTTGTTCCCTAGCTGTTTCTTTCATCAGGCAACTCTGTCCATGCACACACTGGGAACAGGCTCCAGCTGTTCATCTGCCTCACTGATGTCTGACTCTGAAGGCAGCTGATAACTGGCATACTGCTCTGCCCCCCTCTTTGCGTCCAACACAGAGCCCTCACCAGAGCAGAGCAAAAACAGCCTCTCCTGCCTCCCCTGGAGGCCCTCTGGAAGCTTCAGAAGCCTCCAAAGGGCAAAAAATGACCCTACGAGCTCATAGGGCCATTTTTAGTCCTCTGGAGCCTTCAGGGAAGCCTCCTGAAGGTCCCTGCAGGCTCCGGAGGACTAAAAATGGCCCTACAAGCAAACCGGAAGTGACTTCAGGGAAGCTCCTGATGCCTCTGGAGGGCCTCGGGGGTGGGGGGAGGCTGTTTTTTCCCTCCCCAGGCTCCTATAAAGCCTTTGGAGCCTGGGGAGGGTGAAAAATGGCTTTAAAAAAGGCTGAACTCAGCTTGCCCTGGCAAATGTCTCCGTGTGCCATAGGTTCACCATCCTGGCTATATACCATTTCAGACAAATGGTTGTCCAATCTTTTAAGACTCACAAAAACCACTGGAAGTATTAAAAGAATTCCAGTGTTGGAGCATTCACAACTTCTGGAGGCAAGTTGTTCCACAGATTAATTATTCTAACTGTCAGGAAATTTCTTCTTAGTTGTAGGTTGCTTCTCTCCTCTCCTTGATTGATATGGTGGTGACCAAAAGTGGATGCAATGTTCCAAGTGTGGCCTTACCAACAGATAGTCCTATTCACGGAGAGCCCGTTGGCACTTTACATCAGAAACCCCAACTCAATACAAGTGGAGAGAAATCTAGGAATAAGTATTTGAGGCTCAGCTCTGCTATAAGAAGCAGGCTCTTAATTGAGGCACGGAAATTCTTTTTCGTTTCCAAGAGCAGCACGGAGGATACTTTCCAGTAATCTCTCTCGTTTGTGCTTCCTTGATCTTGCCAGGAACTGCAGAATTCGCGACCCCACCCTTGCAACTCTGGGGAAAACGCCTCTGAATTAATTCCACTTGACACGTAACTGGCTGACATCAGTGCCAGCCAGAGTGAGTTACATTAACCCAGTTACATTGCCATAGTAACCTACCATGGCTGTAAGTGCGACGACCAAGTTGTAAATCATGTTTTCAGGTGCCATGGTCACTTCAATTTGTTGCTAAAGGAATGGTTGTAAATCGAGGATGATATGAAATAGCCATACCACAAATGTGTGGTACTGGTTATGTGGCAAAGAATATGTTCTGACCGAGGCTTCCCAAGAGCACGAAACAAACTCCCTGTCCCACCAAAAACCCCTTTTATTAATTTACAGTGAATTCTGCTCATTTGCAGACAGCAAAGTCTTTCAAATGAGGATTTATGATCACAGACCTTATCTGGCTTGGAGAGCTGCCAGGTCGATATCTATAGAATTTGGCAAGGAGTCTCGGAGAGTCACGAACCAATTAAGCGAACTAATTGTCTCCTGCAAACTCCACTCCCCATTTGCTCCTCTTTTATTTCCTCTGGGAGGAGCCATTCATTGTCTGGCCTTACCCCTAAGCGGCCTTACTCCCTGTTCTTTAGCTGTTCCCTGCATCTGACAGCTCTGCGCATGTGCACACTGGGAACAGGCTCCAGCTGTTCGCCTGCCTCACTGATGTCTGACTCTGAAGGCNATTCATTCATTCATTCATTCATTCATTCATTCATTCATTCATTCATTCATTCATTCATTCAGTTTTGTATAGCTGCCAATACTAGCAACTGACTCTGGGTGGAGAGCAGTCATAAAATGAATGAAAAACTTTGCAAGGAAGGCTCACCACTTACCTATGTACAGTGAAGAATCCTTCCGCCTCACATGGTCATCAATGTAGGAGACTCCCAAAGGTTGCACAGGAGTTGCCCCAATTCCCAGGAGGACTTGTGCTCCAATGAGAAGCAAATACATCATGTTCGTAGCAGTCCTGCTCCTGCAGATACGATCAGGATCTGGTCCCTCGTCAGTAGTCGATCCATTGACTACGCAGACGTCCCTCCCTTCAGCCCGCCATCGGATTTCTCCAGATTCATACTCATATTGGTGGGTGAGGAATTCCGGAAGGGCAGAGAGTAGGGCTCCCAAAGCCATAATGATTCCTCCGCATCCTATCAAACGTGGCCGGTGTCCCCGGGCACCAAAGTAGCTCACAAAAAGGATGAGGACCAAGTTGCCGATCTCAAAGCTACTGGCGATCACACCAACGTCAGCGCTCTGGAGGTTGAACCTCCGTTCCAAGGTGGTCAAGATACTCACCTGCAAGGCAAGAGAGCAAGAAATGAGAGGAGATTCACTTCAAAGCATGACATCTGTGTGACGGGGAATCATTTCCCTGATAACACTTGGCTTGAACTGAATAGGGATGCCAATAGCTCCTTTTTGAAAGAGCTTATAAGGAAAAGGTAAAGGTTCCCCTCACACATACATGCTAGTCGTTCCCAACTCTAGGGGACAGTGCTCATCTTTGTTTCTAAGCTGAAGAGCCAGCACTGTCCGAAGACGTCTCCGTGATCATGTAGCCAACATGACTAAACACCAAAGGGGCACAGAACGCTGTTACCTTCCCACCAAAGATGGTTCCTATTTTTCTACTTGCATTTATTGCTTTTGAATTGCTAGGTTGGCAGAAGCTGGGACAAGTAACGGGAGCGCAGTCTGTTACGTGGCACTAGGGATTTGAACCGCTGAATTGCCGACCTTAAGATCGACAACCTCAGCATCTTAGCCACTGAGCCACCCTCAGTGTCTTAGCCACTGAGCGTCCCTTGACTTATACACAAGGAGCTTAGACACAAGGTCTAATCCAGTGAAAAGGAGAACCAGAGGGGACATGATAGCAGTATTCCAATATTTGAGGGGCTGCCACAAAGAAGAGGGGGGGGTGGGGTCAACCTATTCTCCAAAGCACCTGAAGGCAGGAGAAGAAACAGCGGATGGAAACTAATCAAGGAGAGAAAGAATCTAGAACTAAGGAGAAATTTTCTAACAGCGAGAACAATTAACCAGTGAAACAGCTTGCTTCCAGAAGTTGTGGGTGCTCCATCACTGGAGGTTTTTTAAGAAGAGACTGGAGAGCCCTTTGTCCAGAATGGTACAGGGTCTCCTGCTTATGCAGGGGGTTGGACTAGGGGACATCCACACTCTTTTCCAACTCTGCAGACTTTGCACAATACATGCAGTATTGTGCAATGCCATTTTACCCAACTGACTCATTTTCCAGCTTTTTATAATACACCGAATCGTAAGTGTATCAAACAGGTTTGAATGATGCAAATTGCAAAGCAAAGGAAGGAAGGAAGGAAACTATGCATAGTATGCTGTGTGAATATAGCCATGGCACGACATAACCGCGGTAGACTAAAGCGCACCGACAACACCGCGGTGCTAAAACCGCAATGTCAAAAGCGCGCCNAAAGGGCGGCATACAAATACTCAATAAATACAAAATACAAATACAAGTAATCCATCACTTCTACCTTGGTCTCAAATGACCCATATGACTGAAGTTTAAAATGCTTCAGAAACGCTGCTCCCGGAAAACATGGGGAAAATATCTTCCTAATGAATCACGTTGCAGTTTTCAACCCGAGAGGATTATTAACATAAAATTAGTTCTGTTAAATGCTAGAAACCTTGAACAAACAGAATGGTTTTATCTTCCCAAGGCCATTCCCATTGCAAACACAAAGAACAATTGCATTTGGGAGATTTTTCTCTTCCTACCTATCACTTCCATATCGTGCCAGAAATACGTGCAAAGCCTTCCAAGTCTAAACTTTTGTTGTTGCAAACTTTTAAGTTCTTCTGATCTAAATCATCTCCTTTTTTTTCCCTTGCGTGAGTCACAAAACACCCCTTCTTCTGCTCAGCAAGAGGTATGCTTTTCCCCCAGGCCAAATCAAAAGAGGGCTTCTTAAGCAGCAGAAAGGAAAATGCTGATTGTAGCACGTTTGGAAACAATGGAATTTGGTGGTGGCTGCTACCCTGCATCCTGCCAGGATCAACCTCTAGAGCAGATCTACAGTAATGTAGGATCTCCAAGCTAAATATCTCCCTGCAGCTGTGTCACACACTTCATGGGTCACTTAATAAATCTGCACTTGACTGCATTTGCTGTGAAAAGCCTCAGGTTAAGGAAGCATCTCCAGACCAGTGAAAAATCATGCACAGTAAAAGGTACCTACCACCTATGCACCCTGTCTAAATAGACTGTATAGGTTCTCCTGCTTACGCAGAGGGCTGGACAAGGTCCCACTCCAGGAGTCGGCAACCTTAAACACTCAGAGCCATTTGGACCCATTTCCCACAGAAAAGAAAACATCGGGAGCCACAAAACCCTTCCAGTGCCTGACTATTTCCTGAGTGGCCACAAAACTAGCATATGTAGTTGAATTAAATGTTCTGTTTCCTTCGGAAACTTTTCTTGGATTTATCCATGGTTGGGCTCTCGGAGGTCAAAAAGCTTAATAAATCATGCGCTGGTGAATGTTGTACATTTGCAGTTGTGATGCATATTCTATTCCATTCCATTCCATTTCCAAGTTTCCTGGGAAACTTCCACTTCACTGTAGTCCATTACACCAGCTCCCTCTCTCACAAGCCCACCGCTAGTCATTCTGGGGGTGGGGGGATCTAAGATGGGAACTTCTTAGTTTTTTGGGCAGACACAATGAGTTCTCAACTAGATTTGAAATTCCTAGATGTCCAGAAATGAAAATGTTTAGACAGCTGTCAAAATCCCATGGACTAGAAGGATCCAACACAAACCCCACCAGGGAACTCTTATTCCACTATAGCCAACACCATAAAAGCACCATGCTGATGGTCCACTGAAATCAGAGACCAACTCCAGTTCCATTGAGGTCTGAACTACAGATATTCTTTGCTCATTTCCATGTCTCCTAAAAATGCTTGCCTACCTCCTAAGATATACCTATAAATGCCAGCTGCACAGAAAAATAGTGGGATAAAGGCACAGCTGCACAGGCAGCGTTTATGAGCTAAAGAATGGAAATATCAATCAACAGTTTCTTTAGGAGAAAAAAAGAAGCAGGAGGATTAATGTTGATCAGCTTGAGAATCTAAAATCAGTTGCCCCCAGGAGCAAATTCCAAAGAGATGATTCATTTACACAGGAACTAGTATGATTTCTAGTGAATCATGTGAACTGGGGAGTGGAGAAAGGAAGAAAGTTGTCCTGGTTTTCTAGTTGTATTAAAAATGCAATGGCCAGAACAACCACTCAATTTGCAAATGCATCCTAGTACAACTTGATTCACTGTAAATTGGGGAATTTGTCTTGTACATTATGGGAAAAGCAGAATCAGATTGTCCAAATCCTCTTTTCAAAATGACCCAGTAAAATATCAGAGAAAATTCTGATTTAGGATGAAGTTAACCCAAAATGGAAAAATGAATTGCTTCCCAAATTTGCATTCATTCATTCATTCATTCATTCGCTGAATACCCATGCTTCGCTATGAAACTATGCGATCGGGCTTGATAAATTGACACCATAAAGCTTGAAAATTAATGAGTAGTTAAAAAGGACTGTGTTGTTTCATTAGAGATGGTAAGCTACAGTTCCTGTTTCTGTTACAACTGGCAGTTGGAACAGAGTGGGGAGGGGGAATAGAACTCCTTAACATCAGAATATGTTAATTACTGTATAAGAAATACTAATGATCTGATAGTCATGTCAAAAAATCCTTTCTTAGCAAGCACCTAGAAGCCAAGAGGAACATGCATGCCAAATTTCAAGTTTGCAGATTTTACAGTTCTGGAGATTTCGTGATGATGCATGAGTGGTATTTCACACTATATATATATATATATATATATGAATGAGTGAATAAATGAATGTATATATATATATATATATATATATATATATATATATA